TACATCCGATGATTGTATAGAATAATTTAATGTACTTAAAAATGAAAAAACGTAAAAATAAAATAATGATATAAAATGAAATTTGAAAAAATTGAAACAGAAAAATTTAAAAATATCGAAATGAAAACGAAGCTGCAAATTTTAGGTCTATATAAATTTGCAAATTTCAAAGTATTAGATTCGATGTAAACATCATTTTACATCTTTGCATCCTCTCGTCTTTTAAATTTTATATTACGATTTTTGAGCAAGTAATCTATCCTACAACATCTTACCGTTTTAATTAATTTTGCTGCAATTTTACGATTTCATTTTATTGAAATTTTGCAACTGTAGAATTTGCAATTTTTTTGTCTTCCGGATACCATAGGACTTTTTTTATAATAATAATAATGTTTGTTGCTAAAAAGAAGTTAGAAAACCCATAGGAGCAATATAATAATAGGGACAATGAAAGTTTACTTTCAAAATTTTAACTTTCAAATTCACCGTGATCTAAAAAAATAAAAATTTGCAAATTTCAAGGTTTCAGATTTTTTTCGTTTTTTAAATTTTAAGTTATTACAAATTTACAATTTAAAAATTTGAAATCTTGCAATTGTGAATTGTCCAAATTTGTGATTTGTTAAAAAGTGTTATTTTTAGGTCCAAAAATGCACAATTTTGAAACTTCACAGTCCACTTGATTTTCGGAACATTTTACATGTAAAATTTTAAATATCAAAGTTATAGTTTGCATTTTTACAATCTCACAATTTAACAATCCGATGAGCGTGTCGTAAAAAAATAAAAATTTAAAAACGAAAGAACGTTAAAATAGCATAATAATAAAAAATAAAAAAAGCAATGATGTTGTCAAATCCAATCGGATTCGCAAATATTTTATTCATTTAAAACTGTACTTTGTAATATTTGTGGCTAAAAACGCAAAATTATGTACTTACCGAGCATTTCTATGTCCCACATACTTATATTTCATTTCTGCTTCATACGTATTTACGGTATCAGTCTTTTGAGATAACGATGAATCAGGATACTCATCGTCGTAATCATCAAACTCGGCATCAGAACTCTACAATCAAAAATAAAGAATATGTCTTGTGTGAGAAAAAAAAAATAATTACAGCGCCATCATCAGCCAATCCAGTTGGACTTCTCATCGATGTTTCTTCACTGTTTTGTGATGTTGAAGGCACAGCTGAGGCATCATTTTGTAAATTATTGAAATTTCCACGGTTAACTTCATCGCCTACTCTTAAACTGATCGTGGCATTTGCTGTACTTTGCTGGGAGTACCTGAGACTGACTGAGGGCTCTGAACCGTGTTCTTCTATAAAACCGTCTCTTAAGTTACGCAACGTTGTTAGATGACTGTATAGGCTTGTAACGCATGCAGAAGTCTCACTTTGCCTCTCTTCAGCGGTGCTTGTGGACGCAGAAGGTTCTTGGTCTTGTCTAAAAAACATAAAAATAAAAATAACCAGTGATGTGGTAAGAATAAAAATAAAGTAATTGCCGGAAAATAAGCGCTTTCACAAAGCCTGTAAAATTTTATGAAAATAACTCAAGTGTTTTGAAGTAACAAATTTCAATTTTTATCATGAAACTTTATCACCCTGTATATCCGTAATGAAGCATTATAGGACTATAGTTTATTGGGCAAATTAGTCAAATGTCAAAAAATAAATGGCAAAATTTTATGACAGATAGAATTTTAAAAAAATTTTTTTAGTATTCTGGGGGACTACCCAATTTACAGGCTGTATATTTAAAAAAATCCTCTATTTCTGTACCTCAGAGCAAAACAGTATTGACCACCAAAACGCAAATTTTTCTTTAGAATATTTTTAAAACTATAATTTTGTTTAAAAGTCAGTTATATTCATAATATTCTACTCAGACTTTCTCAAAAATTCATCACATGGAAATAAAAGGGCTTTCTAACCTTCAGGTAATTTACTGACGGTTTAATTATTATATTATTATGAAATTAAATTTAAAAACTGGAGTTAAGACTATTTTGCTCTGAGGTACAGATTCAGAAATTGTATTTGATGCTTATTTTTAAAGTGATTTTAATTATTTTCATTTATTAATAAGAGTGAAACAAAAAAAAAATAAAAATACAAAACAGATGTGTAATTAATAAAATTATAATTCTGTACTATACAGGCCGCTCAAAAAGTCAGTAGTACGTTGTTGAGAAACATCTTTAAAAAATCTTGAAAAAATTCATATTTTACTAAATTTGAAGCTAGAAACTTAATTTAATTTTCTCATATGTTTTTATCGTTTCATAAATCAATGTTGCCAACTGTATCTTACCAAAATTTTCAAATTTCTTTATTTAAATTCTCCAAGTCTCCAAAATATACAAATAATACAATTTTCGAAAAACTGTATTAAGCTCTTATTTTTTAATTAAACAAACAAAAAATACATCTAGAAAGTAGCAAATAAAAAAAATTCGTAGGCAAGATATCACATCATTAATTTCTTCATTGCTATCAGTACTGAGATAACATTCTTTTGTACCAATCTTTGTACTTTAATTATTCTAGTATAATATTATTATTATTACAACATTTATTCGAACAATAAAGATCAAACAGAGGAAAGAATAGTGAATATCTAGGCACGAATTTACAATTTCTTCAATAGATGGCGCAATTAAAAAAAATATATCATTACAGACTTATATTATTTACAAAAAGTCTCTAATTTTGAAATATTTCTCAAAATCAAAATTCGCTAGATCTAGTAAAACATTCTCCAGGTTGGCAACACTGTCAATGATGTAAAATTTTTATTCAGCAAAACAAAAACAATTTGCGGATATAACAACAGTGTATCAACTTTAGTTGCTTCAAGAATAATTAATTTTTACTGGGGTTCAATTAGGGGGGGGTTGCTATATCCATTTTTTGAAATAACATTAACAATAACATAACAATGGATAATAATTTATTAATTAAAGATTAATCAAAAAATCTGCAATCAAGAATAAAAATATGAAGGGAAAAAACCGATAGAAACAGTAATCAGCTTCGTATTCAGTTTTTTTAGATATTGTAAATATTCGGTTTAAAAATGTTCTAATTATTAAAAAAAAAAACAGTTTGCCAAAAACATTCACCGAAAATAGAAAATAAAATAGTATATTAAGTTTCGTAAGGCAAGTTTTGTGGAACGAGTTCCCAGAAATGACTTATGAAACAAGTTTTTTTATGCTATTTTTTCTACTTTGCGCGTTTTACGCATTTTTTTAACATAAAAATAAATTTTTCAAAATTTAGGGACTTTAAGGTTGTGGTTGGTAATAAATGTCATAAAGTTTCGAAGTATCAAGTCTCAAGTATTTTTGAAAATTTTGTAAAATAACAATGAATATTGCAAATTTTTCATGCACACCACTTGAAAAAAGAGAAATCGTTTAAAACGCCGCTGAAAATCACCATTACCAACCTCTAGAAAGTAAATTGTACTTGTCCATTTCAGCACCCAAATTGGTGTTGAAATGGCTCATTAAAGGTATCGAAATAAACTTTCTTTCACACGAAAAAAGAAATTCAGCCGTCAAGAACAAAAATTTAGTATTTTTTCTAGATTTATCTAAGATAATTCAAGATTTTTTATTTTTTCAAGCTCTATTTTCTATTTTTTTAAAACGATATTTTGTTATATTTTTTGAGATTATAGCTTTTATTGTTATTTTTTAAACGATAATCTTCTAAGTATAAAACGTATTCTTTTTTTGATTTCTTTTTTATGAAAAGTTTTTTAATTACCTGCTTGTTGTGGCAACTTCACTCTCAGTATCATTTTGTACATTTTCCGCCACACTCGACCTTTCTTCCCCCTCACTTTGACTCTGTTCTACCTGCCCTGAATTCTCTTCTTGTCTTTGACCTAAAACATTTCTTTGCGACGTTTCATTCGGATCCAACGAATCCTCTCCTCCAGCACTCAAAGCAGCCCTTGTCATAGGATCATTCAACATTTGTGAGAGTACATCAGTCATTCGTTGCATCAAAGTGGCATGTAATTGAGGTCTTGCTTGTCCAATACCTCAAAAAAAAAATTATTACAATCTCGTATCAACTCTATTAAATTTCCACTTACTAACAGTTGTTGTGGTATCGCGTTCAGGACGTGCATCTGGTCCTGTATCAGACCAATCACCCCTCAAACGTAACCTCCTCACATGAGGGGGCGAATTATTGACACGTTCTCGTTTCCCTGCTAACATTTTAACTTTCTCCCAAGGAGAGGCTTTAATCGGTTTTTTTAATTCAGTTAGTTGATTCTCCTTTAGAAAGAGTTGAGGAGTTTAAACAATAATAACTTAGTATTGCATTTTATAATCACATTACCTGTATCCTAAATAGATACAGATAATCAGAAGAGTAACTGACTAGCATATCTTGACCATCATGACTGTAACTGAGTGATGTTATTCTGTATCTTCGATCTTCAAGATTTGGGGCGATGAAACTACAGAATGGACGAGCTTTCAAATGATCTAAAGCACAAAAAAATTATATTTTTATGGATTAATTGCACAAGACGACAAAAAAAGGGCATGTCGTGACAACTTGACAAATTTTATATCATTTTGTTCGTCTCAGTGAGACAAATCAAATGCACTAAAAAAAATTTAAAAAGTCCACACACTTTGAACATAATAATTTTTCTCTAATTTAAATGAATTTAAACTTTAAAAAATCATTACTCAATAACAATTAGGCCGATTTCTTTCAAATAAAAACCATTTTAAAGGAATGGCCTTGCCCTTTAGAAGGATATAAAATTTGAAATTGAATATTGGCAAACTTTTCTTCGTTATTTTAAATTCATTTAAATTAGAAAAAAATTGTTTTGTTCAAAGTGTTGTACTTTTTGAATTTTTTTTAGTGCATTTGATTTGTCTTACTGAGACGAAGAAAATGATATAAAATTTGTCAAGTTGTCACATGACTTTTTTTGTCGCCTTGTGTTAGGAGAAATTACCCTCAAGTTGAGTACTGAGACATCTCCTGTCATAAATCCGTACTGTTGAGTCCGCACACCCCACTGCAAGTTGATGGGGCGCTGTGGGACTTACAGCAAGGGCTGTAACCGCCCTCTGACACGTAATTAAAATATCTTCCTTACAACGTGGTTTTCGACAACTTAAATTTTTCATTTAAAATAAGCACAATAACCGTTTCAAATACCTTGTTTTTGTTCTTAAATCAAACCAACGCACTGTTCCATCCTCTCCACAACTTAGAAACGTGTTAGGATCATTCGGGATTGTAATTACCTCGTAAGTGGTTCCAGCATGGCAACTAAATTGGTTGTAGTAAGTATTTTTGGTGTTTTCGAGATCTGTATGTAAAATAATTCCGTCTCCAGAACACGAAACAATCTGTTTGTCGGAGGAACATGGCAAGAATTTAGCACTGAAGATATTTGCATGGTGGCTAGTGCAGTAATTAGTCTCAACTTTGTATGTGTGTCCATTTGTTATGATTAAATGCTGGTCGTCGGATCCTGATAAAATGTACTCTCCAGTACTGTTCCAACAAATGGTGTTTACACAGCCTTGGTGGATTTCCAGCTTCTTTAACAAACCTAGACGCTGGATAAGATCACCGTCATCTAAAAAACACAAAAATTCGAACAATATTGTGCACAAAATCACACATACCTTTAGCGTTAGTTGATAATTTAAAAAAACTATTTTTATAAGGAAGATTATATAAATCTCTAAATATTGATTTAGGTCTATTATCCATAATTATCACAGCAATTCCTAATTTGCAACTTGCTCCAAATCACTTGCTACAACTAAAAATAACCTTGTCATACATGTTCAAGGGGCTTATTTAGTACGGCCCATAAAACACTGCACTGGAAATTCATGCATTTAACCCAAACAAATAACTAAATAATGAACCAAGACAATTTTTTTTATTAATTTCACAATTTTTTATCTGTCAAATGTCAAATTATCGAAGTGTCAAAATTGGAAGTGTCGACAATTACAACTAATTGGAAAAATAGAAAAAAACATTTATAACATCTGATTGCATTAAATAATTTGTTGTTTATTTATTTTTATCAAATGAGTGCTTTTCAACAGTTTGTTAAAAATTTGGCCCTGAAAATTAGACAAAAAAATTTCTGAATTTCTGTCTATAATTGAATTTAATTGAAATACTCCTTGCAGCAATTTAATTCTATTAAATTTGTATTGCTGTCTATTGTTTTTTATTTATTTATAAAAAATTTTGCTCAAAAATGTGGTCACAGGTGTAACCATATCCACAAATGTTGTCCACTTCAATTTTCTCTACTTGAATTTATCAAAAGATCAACAGAAGTGATTGACTATTGATTATACATGAACAAGACAATTTTTTACTGTGCAAAATGAAATTAAAAATTTTGTCCAAAAAGTGGCCACAGACGTAACCATGACCACAAAACTTAACCCTACTTTCTTAACCAAAAAAAAATCAATCGTCTGACTCGTTTATTGAGTGTATTATTATTGAAAATAGTGAAGATGAGTAAAATACATCTTTTAACAAGGTTGTGTCACTTACGTAATAATTTAAAATTAAAAAAATGCGTTTTAGGTTTGGTCAAATAAAAATCAACTTATTAAAAAGACATGGAAGGGTTTTACACGCAGCACAGTTAAGTAGCAGTTCAGACGACGAAAAGAAAATCCAGAAAAAGGAGGAGGAAACTAAGAAAAGTAATGAAGCCTTGAAAAAGTTAAATAACTTGTTAAAAACCATGATTGAGGTATTTGAACTTTACACATGAGAAAACCACAAACAGAGACAATTTCAGGACGATGTGAAGCCCAATGATAGGAAACTTGATCTAGCAAAGCCCCCTAATAGAAGACAGAAAGACAACCAACAAGAGAAGAAAAAACCTATTGAAACACCGGAGACACAAATGACGAAAGTTGTAAAGGATGTAGCTGAAACATTAGGAGGAAATGTGAAACAAACCGAATCAGAATTATTAATGAAGCTTTTGGAGGGCAAAACCTCAACGAATTTAGTGTTTGTATTAAAAATTTATTTATTTTTTTAATAAGCTAGAAATTGTAGTGATTTGGTTAAAGGAATGAAAGTTGATACTGAGAAAACACCACATGAACAATCCAAAGCACAACAAGTTAGAGGAGTTTTGCAAGGAATAACACAAGAAAAACGAATTTCGACTAGAAGACCCAGAATGAAACCAGAATTGTCTGGGCCAATTGAGAAAATTGACCTTTTTGGAAGCCCCTCTTTAGGGATTTTCACCGATAAAGAAAACGTTGATGAGGGTGTTGAAAACAAAACATGGAACGATTTATACCAAAAAGACCTAAAACTAGCTGTTACTCACCCACCTGGCAATTATTTCCAACAAATGATTCTATGGACTGAGCAAGAAAAAATCTGGAAATTCCCCATTGATAATGAACAAGGTTTTTATCAATTTTTTATTAATTTTGTACAACGTTAAATTTTAGGTCTTGACGAGGAAAAGAAAGTTTACTTTACTGAACACGTTTTTCTTGAGAAGTATTTGGAACCTTGGTGTCCACAAAGGGGGCCATTGAGACACTTTATGGAGTTAGTCTGTGTTGGGCTTTCGAAAAATCCATACTTAACAGTTGACGCAAAAAAGGAACATATTGAATGGTTCAAAAACTATTTTGAGGAGAAGAAACAATTATTAAAGGAAGTTGGGGCTATACAAGATCAAAAAAACACTCAACAAATTGAACAAAATACAACTTTGTAGAAATATTTAAAAAAATGCAAATATATTAGAACTTAAGATACGGATAACTAAACATTTTAAAAACACTTAAATTTGTAAATGAAGAGAAAGGGGGCAATGGTCAGACCCCAAAACCTCACTATGGATCAAGTTATCGCAAACATTGTCCACAAATCTACTAGAAATCAAAAAATAATCCAAACGCCTGAAAAATTCAATTAAAATTTGAACGCTAAACAATTATTCATTTACCATCCGACATTCTTGCCTCTAGCATTTCCCATATAAGTCCAAAACGTGTAAGTCTTTTCCTTATCAGGATATAAATGTCGAAAAATATCAACAAAACCATTTGCTAGAAAATCAGTCATACCATCTCGTTCTTCGATGGTAAATCCAGCATTTTTGGTATTGGTTTTAGGATTCGCTAAATCAATTTCTGTATGGGCAACGTTCATATCACCACAAATGATAACCGGTTTTTGTGAGTCCAATTTTTTAATAAACTTTTTAAATTCTTCATTCCAGTCTAACCGTTTTGGTAGTGTAACTAATTTTCGACCTGTTTAAGTAAAATTGTTATTAAAGGCACTAAAAAAATTTAATACATATACCTGCGTTAGGAACATAAACATTGACAATATAGAAAGTTTCATACTCCACGGTGATGCATCGACCTTCAGTATCATGTTCTTTAGATTCAATACCATAAATAACATTAATGGGTTTATCTTTTACAATAATGCCAACTCCGGCATACCCATCTTTATCACTACTACACCATAATGTTTCGTAGCCTTTAATTGTTTTGACTTCTTCGGGTAATTTGTCTAAAGAACATTTAGTTTCTTGAATACATAGAATATCAGGTTGGTCATACTGAAGTATATCAAGACACCCTTTTTTCAACCAGCTTCTTAGCCCCCCTACATTCCATGTAGTAATGTGGAAGTTGGGGGCTTTACCTTTTGGAGATTTTGAAGTACATTTGAAATTAATACTTTCCCAATTGGTTATAGTTGCATTTTTAGGTGCCTTTGCTTCTGAATGTTCTAGTTTAGGCTCCTTTTTAGTAGCAGCCTTTCGTTTTTGGCCCTTTTTCACATCTACTACATTACCTAAATGTTCTCCTTCATTTTCTTCCTTACTTTCAATATCCGCCGACTTGACAGTCTTGCCCTGCAAAACACAAGATATTAAATCATAAATTCATTACAATGGAAATAAGTAAATACCTTGTTTTTTCTTATTTTAGGTGCAGCTTCCTCTTTACTTTCAGTTACAGGCTAGAATAATAGATTCAGTAAAACAACAAAAACTTGGTAATGAGACACTCACCTCTGCCTTCTTACGTTTTCTTGTCGTTGTTGGCTAAAAATTACAATCATTGAATGTAACTAACTAAAAAACATTTTTTGACACAATTTTAAAAGCACCCCCTTTAACTTTTCCCACCTCAATTGAAATTTCAAATGACACCGACTCACTTGCGACAGATCAAATAAAAGTGTTTTTAAAATGTTCTTTGAACCTCTTTTCTAAAGTTGAATGGGATTATCTATTCATAAGATATTCGCAAAAAATAATGTTTCTAATTAGTAATTACTTCTACTAAAAACTATTAAAATAAATTACAAGAAACATACTGATTTATAAGAAACTGTAACAAACTTATTTTAATTTTATTATTTTATTGTCAAAATAATCGGACTAAAGGACAGGGAGTAATAAAGTTTCTTATAATTTAAGTATCTAAAAAATAGCAATATAGTTCTTAAGTTCCTTTGTACATACTGACTGCTGAAAGATTAGTTTTTTGCCGATATTTTTTAAAGAGCATTTTAAAAGTGTTTTCATTTTTTGTATCACTAGTGGTTGGTGCTATTTGACATTATAGAGTTAAGAGGTTAAAAGGTGCTTTTAAAATTGCGTCAAAAAATGTCCCTTTTAAAAACAACATTAATCTATTTCGGGGTTTTTTTGTAATGTTTTTCTAAGATGGTTCGTTTCTATTAGAATACCCTGTATCTCATGAATGGATGGTCTGATTCAATTTTGATAAAAAGTTTTAAAAACCTTGCTAAAATAACTTTCATTTGATGTGCTACAAGTAGGGTAGTGCCATTTAAATTTTTAAAGTTGGGGTGTGTGGGGGTTAAGAGGTTACTGAGGGTGTTTTAAAAATTACGTCAAAAAATGTTCCCCTCGGACACAAAATCAACCTGTTTCGGCGTTTTTGCAAACTCTTTTTAGTTTCTGAGATATTCGGGGTGACTCGTTTTCATTGAAACACCCTGTATTAACTACGTGCCAAAAAACGCATCACCAGAAGAATTTTATTGATGTCATACATCTGAAGATGTATAACAAATAAATGCGAAACCCATAACGCAAAAATAGGTCCCTCTGGATCCCTTGTTATAACACAGGGCGACCAAAAAAAGTCATGTCGTGACAACTTGACAAATTATATATCATTTTGTTCGTCTCAGTGAGACAAATCAAATGCACTAAAAAAAATTCAAAAAATCCACACACTTTGAACTAATTAATTTTTTTCTAATTTAAATGAATTTAAAGTTCTTTAACTTTAAAAAATCATTACTCAAAACTATTAGGCCGATTTCTTTCAAATAAAGACCATTCATTATCCTTTAGAATGATATAAAATTTGAAATTGAATATTGGCAAACTTTTCTTCGAATAGTGTTCGAAGCAGTTCGAAGTAAATCGAAATAATCTAAGAAAAACTCTACAAGTAATTATTTTTTTTAACATTACCATCGTGTAGAGCATCTTTTTATTAATAAGAATCCACATTTTTAAAATAATATACTGAGTAGTTTTCAAGATATGATTTTTTGAAGTTAAGGTTTGCTAATCAAGCATTGCTCCACACAGGAGAAATGCATGATAATCTTACTTAAAATTGCATTTTTATAAAAGTATTTGTTTTAAGTAAAGAAACAGTTTTTTGTTTGTTCTAATTAGAAAAAAGAAGGTGCAATTGACCATTTTTAAGCAAAAAAGAGTCTTAAAACAAATACTTTTATAAAAATGCAATTTTAAGTAAGATTAACATGCAACTACTGGGTATATTATTTTAAAAATGTGGATTTTTATTAATAAAAAGATGCTTTTCTTGATGGTGACGAAGAAAAAAAAATTTACTCGTAGGGTTTTTCTTAGAATACTTCGATTTACTTCGAACTTCTTCGAAGAAAAGTTTGCTAATATTCAATTTCAAATTTTGTATCATTCTAAAGGCCAAGTCCCTCCCTTTAGAATGGTCTTTATTTGAACCAAATCGCTCTAGAAGTTATTAAGTAATGATTTTTAAAGTTAAAGGGTTTAAAATTCATTTAAATTAGAATGATATAAAATTTGTCTCGCTTTAAAACTCGCGCTATTTCACGAAATGAGACCCCTTCTTCATGCATACCAACAATTCGCCCCATATCAAAGTCGGAAAAAGGCTGAAAACGAAGTCTCTCGCAAATCTGGCCATTGGTTTGGCAATATTTAAGCTTACAGAAAAAATAGACTATTTTGACTTTGAATTGTCTCAAAACAAAACGTCTCTCATTTTGATGTTTTCAATATCGACTGCTACGAAGAATAATGAAATTATTTGACAAAAATTTCGTCACTTCACCCCTGCTGGTGGTGCATTTTCATTGGCACGTAGTTTATTTTCTTTTAATGGTATAGTTTTGGAAATCGTTTTTCGATTATAAAAAACACTATCCTTTTAATAAGTTAAAAAAAAACAATATTTTGTAATATTGTTTGAAATATAAAATAAGTTTCTACAACAATTAACCCTCTGCCTGTAAACGTTTTGATAAAATTTCTAATATTTCTTTTTTTGTGGTTAATTGAAACACGAAATCAAATTTTTGTGACAAAAGGGGAGCAATTAACGTCCTGAAAGCTTTCTGCTTTCTGCAGATGTTTATACTCGCGCCCCAGAGAAAAATTTCAAGTAAGATAAGATACCAGAAACATGGAAAAAATGTTTAAAAAATTCTATCTGTCAAAAAAAATTGACATTTACTTTTTGACATTTGACATTTTTTATTTAATTTAATGATACTGATAATCTTGTATATGTTTTTTTACAATTATTTAGTAAAAGTACAAATTTTTTTTCAATAAAAGCCACAAATAACATTGAACAGAGTTACAATTTAGGATACAGCTTCTTTGTTTCCTCTTCTAATACCCTGTAGCAAAAAAATTTGGAAAATTATTTTTCCAACAGAAATAAATAGAGTCAAAGTGCAAACTTTAAACCCTCATAACTTCAAAATTTATTTAGATAAATTTTTTTTAACATTTTTTCCATGTTCCTGGTATCTTACCTTACATGGCATTTTTCTCTGGGGCGTGAGTTCTGGTGCACCCTGTATAACAAGTAAACAGGGAACAATGCTGAATTCTGTAATCAGAATAGTGTTTTGTCTTAAAAACGTTTCAAGACCACCCATATCCAAATGTTTTAATTTATGTCCTATTCAATACTCACTTTTACTTCGTTCTCTTCAGGTTTAGCTTCTTTTTCCACATTCTTCTTTGTGGTTTTGGTGTCTCTGGTTTTGGCCCCAGTTTTAGCCTAAATATACAAACATTTAAGCAACTTTTTACGCAATAAAATAATAAAATGCACATACAAAATATGTGATAGACATCCCTGAACCCACATGCATGATTTTTGTACGGTTAATCCACAATTTTTGCAGATTCCCCATGTAAAGGGGCTTCATTAACTGAATGTTTCTTCTTGGAAATTGGTGTTGCAATAGGAATCGTACCAAATATTTCAATTTAAACATATTTTGTTAGGAATTGCGTTGTAATTACTGATTACACTTCGCCTCAAGAATTTTTCCGTTACAAGAGCAACAAAAGGGGTAAAAAAGAAGGGTTAGAAGTAAGCGAGAAAGAGAAAGAATAAATCGACGAAACCGAAAAAACGAATTGTAATACTCGATTATTAACCAAAGCGGTGCATTTTTAGCATGTCCCAACCAATTTCAAGAATTAGACGCAAAAAACTAAAAATTGTTTGACTTACCTTTGTGCCACTTGCCTTCGCACTAGAGGTGGCTTTCTTGGGTGGCATTTTACACCTTAATATTTATTTATTTATATTAATATTTTCTCAAACTCAACACGAACAAACTCTGAAGAAGCTAACGTGCAAATATTTTTTAAACCGCCAAAAAACGACAGATAGTTTTGACAGACGAAAAAAAGGTCGCCAACCAAATGACACTAAATGTTCTAAAAAAAAATTGTTTATTTTGTAATTACTACAGACAACTAAATATGATTTTTAACTGTTAGCAAATAATTTATTAAAAGTTGAGAAACACAATTTTATTTAACAATGGTTTTGAGGCACTTTTAAACAGATTTTTTTTAATTTGATGTTTTTTTGACAGACGAAAAAGGGTTGACAACTGACACAATCCTAGTGAAGCTAGCAAATAAAAATCTTCCTGGCAAGATGAAAATTACAGTCGACCAAAAATTGCACGCTCGCTTTTCTCGTTTCAAGCTGTCCTTAAAACATTTTCTACAATAGTCATTTGCAATTATTAAACATGCTCGTTTCTCAATGTTTTATAAAATATGCTTTATTTTAATGAATTTGGCTGCACGAACCGAAAATGGTGGGGGAAACGTATCAGCGCGACACAAGCAGCTAATTTCTGGTCGACTGTAATTTCTACCTTACCAGCGAAATTTTTATTGCTAACTTCACCCAAGTCCCAGAAAAAAGCGGCATTTTCGAAAAAAATATTACTCCTATTTTATAATTAGTACAGACAATTGAATATGATTGAACTGATATCGAATATTCTATTAATAGCGAATACACACATTTTTGTTTAATAACAGTGTAACATTTTTAGCCCAATTTTTCCATTTGTCATTCTTGTCAAAATTTTAAGGTTAGAATTTTTGTTTATTTGAAGCATCGTTCCGTTTATTTCTCATTCTCATACTTCGTCGTTGTGCAATTCTTAAATTGGGTGAAATCACTCAATTAAGACCATTAATTGAAAATGTCAACGTTAGAAGACAAAATTCTTGGGGAAAAATTGCACAATTATTGTAGCAGTAGTGAGGAAAGTGAATCAGATTCAGAAGACCCAAACCCGAAAAAATCCCCAGTTGAAGCATCACCACCCCCGGAAGTGAATAAATGGGAAGGGACATCCTCCAACACGGGCCCCAAAGGCGTAATCAAGGACTGGCAAAGGTACAAACAACTCGAAAATGAAAAACGAACAGAGGACGAAAACGAGAAAATCGCCCTCATGAAAAAACTCACACTAACTGTTCAAACAGCCTTGGATGAAGAACGCGAAAAGGCTGCTTTGCAAGACCCCGATTTGGCCGAACTCTTAAATGACGACTTTTTATTAAACTACCAGAAACAAAGAATGCAAGAAATGTTGTCACAAACCAACCACAACATTAAATTCGGTGAAATTATCGTTTTAAAAAACAGTGGAGAACTCCTCGACGCTATTGATAAGGAACACAAATCAGTCACAATAGTGGTCCACATTTACGAAGATAATGTCGAAGCTTGTCGCACAATGAATTTGTGCTTGAAACAACTTTGTAAAATTTACGAAAATGTTAAATTCTGTTCAATTATTGGCTCTAGGGCTGGGATGAGCATGCGGTTTAAGACAGATGGGGTGCCTGCGTTACTCATCTACAAAGGGGGGCAATTAGTTGGGAATTTCATAAGATTATCTGATGATCTTGGGAACGATTTTGAACCAGAAGACATACAAAGCTTTTTAGTCGAACATGGGATGCTGGAAGACAAGAGTTGCACCCCCTTGCTCATTCAAGGGGGCACAGATCACAGTGACAGTGATTAGATCAAGTTAAAATATTCAATTTTTGTGTTTGATCTCATGAGAGGCTATTATAATCGCTATTAATCATGTAACTTTGACGTTTTTCTACTATTACAATTTTGTATTTTTGTTTAAAAAGTGTTAAATAATAGTAATATAAAAATACTTATTTACGGAAATTTTCATACAACATTTTCTTCTTTGCAAGAGAGGTTTCGTATTGGATGTAGGATTTGAGAATATCATCAAATTGTTTGCAGTCTACTTGCTTGTATTTTTCCTTCATCTCCTTTAAATGTTTAATTTCACTCTGAAATTCAAGTTGTTGTTCCTTTATGTCCTTGAGGAGTTCCATATAGGCCGCTAATGAGTAGCTTTGTTCCATAAAAACATCAATTCTTGTGGTTTCTGATACAATTTTTGTTTTCAGTTCACTTATGTGAGCTTCCATTTGACATTCCTTGATTTTTTCCTTGCAAACTTTGGGTAAATAATCCAGTCGCAATTTCGCTAAATCTTCCAAAATTTTTTGCTCACTTAATAAATTATTTATATATTTGTGTTGTTGCTCTTCTAATTTTCCCTTCAATTCGATTAAAGTCTTATCTTGTGACGTGTCACGCCCTGGGACTGAATTAACATCCTCAGACGTAACTTTCAAAAACTCATCACGAATATTTTTATATTTCTGTTGTAGAATTTGTTCTACTGATTTTGCCAATGTGAGACCTTCATTATAACTCAATTCGTTGTTTTTTGAAGATGGTAATCCCAGAAGATTTGAGTTTTGACTGAAACCCTCATTGTCAAGCACCCCAACTTGTTTGCAACTTTCTTCAAGTAAAATATTTTCCACTTTAGTTTTAAGTTCAGAATTAGGACTACCGGTCACAAAATCGAGCACAGCTTGGTGTAATATTTGAAGTTGGGTGTACTTGTCCCTTAAATCCCTTAAATTGTTCAATTCCTGAAGCTGGGGGCTAGTACTCTCACTGGGGTTCGTCTGAAAGTCAGGGATTGGCAATGTATCGGACATTTTTCACCAAATAGCTTCAAACATGTGGACTTCACTACAATAAAACAATTAATAAATTATTTGAATTTTATAAATTCTACCGTTTTGTTGTCAACTGTCAAATAAATGAGTCAAGATGGCGCTAAAATCGTTTTTTTATAATAACCGATTCACAATAAAATAAATTCAAATCTGTGATTCAAACAATAAATGTTGATAAAATTATCATTTGTGGTGTTTTTTTTTTAATTTTTTAATAATTTGATACAGTGTGGAAAACAAGGTCAACACCAGAGGTGCCAGGTGTAGTGGAATTTCACCCGATCTGGTGATTTTCATGTTTGGGTGATTTGGGTGATTTTTTGGAAATGAAAAAAACAGTTTTTTCAATTCAATTCAATTCAATTCAAAAAAGTCAAAAATCCACCAAATAGTTCAATTTGTTATTGAGCTATTATAGAAAACACAATTATTTCGTTAAAAACAAGCCAAAAACTCAACAAAATAGTTCAATAGTTCTATCTTTGCCGTTTTCGCATATTTATGCACGTTTTTAATATAAAAGCAAAGAAAATTTTAAAAATTTTTGTTTAAGCAGGCAAAAAAATAACAAAATTAAATCGAAATTGATATTATTTTTAGCTTGTTTCGCTCGACTTCGTTTTTGAACCAGAGGCTCATTTATTTTGCAAAACTTTTTCAAAACACACAAAAACGCAAAAAATCAATTAATATTGAATTAATATTGATGTTATTTCGTTTGTTTCACTCGATTTAGCTGATCTCTGAGCAAAATAAGACAAAAATAAGCTGAGAAACCACAAAATTTCGCCGAAAGGGCTTTTTAACCACGTTTTTGTACTAAAATCTCACGTTTTTCGTTAAATTTCACTAAAGCAAAGTAAAATATCAAGAAATTAAGTGTAGAATTACATTATTTCGCAAACTTTTGTTAAAAACAAGCCCAAAAATCATAGAATTAAAGCCGAAAAGCATGCCATTTTTACTTTTTTCAAAAGTTTAAGCAGATTTCTAAGCTGAAAATGCGTTTTTTTGTGAAAATTTGGCAAATTTTTCAATCGGATCTGGTGAATTCTATGTTTTTGATTTGGCAACATTGGTCAACACATCGTAGCGAAGTTAGCCTCACTTTGTTGTTCAGCTTTAAATTATTTACTTACATGAAATAAAAGTATTAAATTGTGTAAATAATCACGTTTGTGTTTAAATTCAACTAAAGGTAGTGCTACGAATTTAAAATTCCAATTTTAGCGTGAGAAATTTGAATTTGGCGGGGCGTGAAACCCACGGCGTAGCTTCCCATGATGCAACTTGCACCTAGTTTCACTTCCCTTCGTAGCTTTCAGAAAAACCGGGTAGTTTCGGGCATGTATTACTTGCATTAATCGTGTTTATTGTTGTGAATGTTTTTCATAAAGTAAAACTAGGCTGAAATGATTCCTCTTTAATAATTCTAACACCTGAACGTATTTGTTGGTGCGTGAAAAATGGAGGTTTCGTGTGTTTTTGCGTCCGTAATTTCGCAAGAAGAATGGACAAAAGTGCCTCGTGCAACAGCAAAAAAGCTCGAAACTTTCGTCAGTGAAAAGTTTGAGGAGTTGATTTCGTGTAAAGCACTTCTGGAGACCAATCGTTACAATGCTGGTGAGTTTCAGTTTCAGTTTTTTCATTGTACACAAAGCTGTTTTTAGAGCAAGCTTCAGCCGAGTCCCAGGCGCAATTGGAGACCCTCAAGAAGGAGAATGAGGAGTTGAAACGGCGTCTTGAGGTCGCCACAGCCACCATATCAGAGCTGGAATCCCAAATATCGCAATTAACTAATGACGCAACCAAGTTGCAAAGCACCGCAAATCGCCTCGAAGCTGAAGCTGCAGAGTTTCGCCACCAGCGCAACATGGCAATTGACGAACGCGATGAACACTTGAAAATGTTGCAAAGGCGAGACTCGGAAATCGAGCGTTTGCAAGCGGATTTGTCGACTTTGACCAAACAACTCGAGGGGGCTGTTAATGCGAAATGCGAGGCTCTGGCCCAGGCTGATGAAGTGGCTTCAATGAAGTTGCGACTCGAATATCGGGAAAAGAGAATGGAACAAGAAAGACAGCTTTTGAATAGTCAGATTGAAAGCTTGACTGAGGACTTGAATGCTCGAACTGAGGAATTACTTAACATGAGACGTGATAATACATCGCGATGTATCCAATTAGAGACTAAATTGACTGAAAAAACTCAAGAATTGGTGGTTGCCAATGAACAGATTAAATCACTCACTGAACTGAATAATAATTTTGCTACCAGAAATGAAGAGTTATCACAGAAATTGTTGAATCATAGAGAAGCCGATGCTAAAATGAATGAATCTTACTTGCATGAGATTGAAGCTAAGACGAAATTGGCCAATGCCTATAAATCCATGTTTGATGAGAGCCAACAGCATGCAGAGAGTCTCAAAGAAGCCCTGGCTGAGGTAATCATACTTTTTTCTAAAATTTAATTACAAAAATAAAAAAAGTTACAAGTTTGAATTGAACAAACTTTGTTTTTCAGGTTTTAAACCATTTGCATATTTTTTATGACAGTATTGTAGATCGAAAGAGTTTTCAATAATTCAGCTTTTTTCTAAAATTTAATTGCAAAAATAAAAAATTACTACAAAG